GAATATTTATTATTATGAACAATTGGCTCACATGATATGGAGGCGAAGAAGTCCCACAATCTGCTGTCTGCAAGCTGAAGACCCAGGGAAGCCAGTGTGTAATTCAGTCTGAGTCTAAAGGTCTGAGAAGCAGGGGAGCTGACGGTATAAATTCTAGTACGAGGGCAGGAGAAGATGAGAGGGGATGTTTCAGCTCAGACAGTGAAGCAGGAAAAAAAAAAAAGAGAGCGAGCGAGAGAGAGGGCAAATTCCTCTTTCCTCCACCTTTTGTTCTATTTTGACCTTCAATGGATTGGATAATGCCTTCCTATATTGGGAGGACATTCTATTTCACTGAGTCTACAGATTCCAGTTGACACATGAAATTAACTATCACAGACTCCCTCTCTCTCTCTCTCTCTCTTTTTAAATCTGCCATCTGCACACTAAAGATTCCTCTTAATGGGAAAAGTTGTAACAACTTTATGGCCATATTTAACCTCCCACGGGTAACTACAAACATCTTAAAGTAAATATAATATTCAATAATTTTATGTTGAAAGCAACATAACAGGAACAAGATATAGATACCCAATATCACTATTTCCATTTAATACATTACTAGAGGTTTTAGCCACGGCAATAGGCAAGAAAAAGAAATGAAAGTTATATAATTGGAAAGAAATAAAATGGTCATTATTTTCTACATAGCTGGAAACAGAAAGTAAGAAAAATGGCTAGACTATTAGAATTAATTAGTTTAATTAATAATTCAGCAAGGGTGTTAGCTTCAAGACCAACATACAAAAATAATTGTATTTCTATATTTACACTGAAAACAATTAGAAAATAAAAATTTACATTAAAAATGACATGAAATATTAAATGCCTAGAATAAATCTAACAAAGATGTGTGCAGTTTCTATATTTAAAAACTGTAAAGCATTAAGAGAAATTACAGACACCAAAATAAATGGAGAAATATATCATTTTTATGGATTGAAAGATTCAACCCCACATAATGCTGTTATTAGTCTCCTAAGGCTGCTTTAATAAAGTACCACAAACTGGGTTTTTTTTTTTTTAAAACAACAACAACAACAACAACAACAACAACAACAACAAAAAACACCCAGAATTTATTATCTCACCATTCTTGGGGCTAGAAGTCTAAAATTAAAGATCAGTAGGGTCATGCTTTCTCAGAAAACTATACGGGAGAATCTTTTCTTGCCTCTCTTAGGTTTTGGTGTTATCAACAATCCTTAGCATTCCTTGGCTTGCAACTGCAGTACTTCAGTCTCTGCTTCCATCATTGCATGGGGTTCTCCTCGTGTGTGTATGCCTCCATATCTTCTCCTCTCTTAAGGACACCAGTCATAATGGATGAAGTGCGCACCTTCCTTCAGTATGGCCTCATCTTAACTAATTACATCTGCAACAATCCTATATGACTAAATAAGGTCCCATTTTAAGGGTTAGAACTCCAACGCATCTTTTTAGGTGACACAATTCAACACAATGAATAACAAATACCAATTCTCCAAAACAGGCATACCACTTCAGTGTAATAGTAAACAAAATCCCCATGGATTCTAAAATTTATAAGGAAAGTTTTGTCACAACTGGCAAGCTGATTCCAAAATTTACATGAAGATGCAAAGGACCAAGGAAAGTAAAGATAATCTTGAAGGACATAATAGGAGAGAGGACTTTTTCTATCACATACTAAGATTTATTATAAAGCTATTACAGAAATTAAGACAGTATGGTATTTCCACAAGGAGAAACAAAAGGAACAGCCTTCATAGTCCTGAAACAAACCCATATATATATATATATATACACATACACACACACACACACACACAGACAACTGATACATGACAAAGGTGTCAATGCAGAACAGTGGGGAAAAGGACAGTCTTTTTAAAAAATAGTGCTTAATCCATGTAAAATTCACATGGAAAGGTTGAAATCTGACTTACCTTACACTATACACATAACCCAACCTCAGCTGGATTATAAAACTAAATGTGAAAGACTAATAACATTTCTAGAAATTTTCTTCATTTGGTAGGAAAATATTTCTTAAAGAGTATACAATAAGCACTAAGCACAAAGGGTTTTTTGTTTGGTTTTTGGATGCAGTCTTGCTCTGTTGCCCAGGCTGGAGTGCAGTGGCACAACCTTGGTTTATTGCAACCTTTGCTTCCCGGTTCAAGTGATTCTCCTGCCTCAGCCTCCTGAGCAGCTGGGACTATAGGTGCACACTACCATACGCGGCTAATTTTCTTTTTTTTTCCTGTGGCAGAGTCTTGCTCTGCCACCCAGGCTGCAGTGCAGCTGTGCGATCTTGGCTCACTGCAAGCCCTGCCTCCAGGGTTCAAGTGATTCTCCTGCCTCAGCCTCCCTAGTAGCTGGGATTACAAGTGCCCACCATGCCCAGCTAATTTTTGTATTTTTAGTAGAGACAGGGTTTCACCATGCTGGCCAGGCTGGTCTCAAACTCCTGGCCTCAAGAATTCCGCCTGCCTCAGCCTCACAAAGTGCTGCTATTATAGGTATGAGCCACCGCACTAGGCCACAAAGGTTTTTTAAGTTCATCAAAAGACACCAATGAGTGAAAAGGCAAGCTACTGAGTGGGAGAAGATATTTGCAATATATGCAGTAGTCCTCCCTTATCCATGGGGATATGTTCCAAGATGTTCCACAGATGCCTGAAACCTCCAGTAGTATTGAACCCTATATATGCAATGCTTTTTCCTATACATACATATCTATGATAAAGTTCAATTTATAAATTAGGCACAGAAGAGACTAACAACTAACAATAGAACAATTATAATATACTTTAATAAAAGTTGTTTAAAACTTAAGAATTATTTGTTACTGGAATTTTCCATTTAATATTTTCAGACCGTGGTTGATTATGGGTAACCAAGACTTCAGAAAGCAAAACCGTGGATGAGGGGCGCTATTGTATATTCAAAAAAGACTTATCTTAGTGTATTCCTGATTGCCAAAAGAAAATGCCACAGACTGTGTAATTTATAAATGGTAGAAATTTATTTCTCACAGTTCTGGAGGTTGGCAAGTCCAAGATCAAAGCACTGGCAGATTTGTTGTCTTGGAATTACTCTCCAATTCCAAGATGAAACTTTGTTGTTGTCCTCTTGCTGGGAGGAACATTGTTATCATACAGTGAGGGGTTAAAAGGGCAAAAGGAATGAACCTTTGTGAAAGGCATGAATACCCTCTTTTGTAAGGGCATGAATCCCATTCACGAGGATGGAGTCCTCATAGCCTAACCCCTCCCAAAGGCTCCACTTCTTATACCATTGCCTTAATGTTTAAGTTCCAATATATGAATTTTGAAGGGACACATATATTCAAACCATAGCAGGACTGATATCTAGAATATATGCTCATAAGAAAATGTCAATGCAATACAAAAATGAGCAAGAGACTTGAACAGGCACTTATGGGAGATATCGAGATACCCAAAAAACATGAAAATGGACTCAGCCTCATTAATAATCTGGGAAAATGCAAATTAAAACCACAATGAGATACCACTATACCCCCTTCAGAATGGTTATAATTAAAAAGATGTGCAGTAGTAATTATTGGCAAGGATGTTGGGAAACTGAAACTCTCATACATGGCTGAAGGGAGTATAAACTGAAACCACCATTTTCTAAAATTGCCTGAGATTATCTACCTAAATTTTACATATACATAACAAGCAATTTCACTTTTAGGTATAAACCCAACAGAAATGTGTGCATATGTATCACTGTTAAATAAAAATTGTAGGCCATTGTTTTGGGCTAAGTTCCTGCACTAGGTCTCAATGAATCAGACTAAAAATCAAAATGGAGTCACTCACACTGAGGTTCCATGTCATCAAATGGAAACTACCTTGTTATCTGAAGTTCTGAAAAGTTAGGAAAAAGAGTCTAATTTCCCCTGAGTACCAGTTTCAATTAGCATAATAATGAAATTCCTTCTGCTTTAATCCTTACCAAAAAAAGGTAAACTGAAGTTACCTGATGTTAACCAATCAGTTATTTCTCTATTGTTTTGTTTCTCGGTTCTGCTTTATAAGGAAAATAACTTATTTATTTATTTTTTGGAAAGTTACTTTGAAATGGACCAATCTGTTTTCTATTCTTATTTCTGCTTTCTCCAGCCCTTCTCTGTCTATAAAACCTAACTCTTCTGCTCAGCTCATTGGAACACTTGTTCTATTTTCTGGAATGAAGTGTTTCCAGATTCTAGAATCACAAATGAAGCTAATTGAGATCTTTAAATTAAATTTGTTGTAATTTTGTCTTTTAACACCACCAATGACAAGAATGTTCACAGAAGCATTACTCCTAATAGCCACAAATTGGAAACAACTCAAATGTCCATCAATAGACGATTAAAATTGTACCATATTCACAAAACAGAATCCTATACAGCAATTAAAATGAATGAACAGTCACAAATCACAGATGTACCTGTGAAACAATGAATAAAAAAACCCAAATCTCAATTTTGAGCAAGTTAACTAATCTTTTCATTTCTATCTCGAGATTAAAAAATTATAATTCCTAGGGTTAAATGGTGAGGATTAAGTGGGATGGTGCATGTGAAGTGCTCAGCAAGCCAAGCATTTTTTAATATCATGCTCTCTCAGTAGGCCACCTTTCAGGAAATGGGCACTAAAGAATGCTACAGATTAGCTGGATGTGGTGGCACGTCCCTGTAAGCCCAGCTACTCGGGAGGCTGAGGCAGGAGAATCCCTTGAATCCAGGAGGCGGAGGTTGCAGTGAGCTGAGATTGCACCACTGCACCTGCACCCCAGCCTGGGCAACAGAGTGAGACTCTGTCTCCAAATCAAACAAACAAACAAAAATGCTATAGAGCACTTATAGTGCCTTCTAACGCCACTGATAATTCTTCCTCAAATCCCTTCCCCCTTCCTCCACCTTTTCACCATTGAGCCTCGGTCTCTTTAAGAAGTGAACCATAACTGAGGAAAGAGGAATGCTGGGAAGTTCTCCTCAGCTCAGGTCCGGAGCCTGACGGGAAAAGAGGGCGGAGACTAGGCCTGCGCACGCGTGGTTGGCCGGCTGCTGCGTTGTGATGGATCAGGCGGAATTCCAGAAGAGAAACTAATCCTTGTCTAGGCGCAGAGGGCTTGGTTCATATTCGCAAATTCCCCGTCCGGTGCTCTTCCGGTAGCAGGGAGGCGACAGAAGGTGGGTGCGGCCGCAGTGGTAGTGGGCGGGACGGCGGGGCGGAGGCCACGCCACGTGACGAGGCGTTGCGGCGGGGGCGGTGCCAGGTGGGCTACGCTGCTGGAGCGGCTGCGGATTTCGCCTTAGGGACGCGTTGACACTCACTGGCTGGTCCGCTGCTCTCAGTCGGAGACCACGTTGCCTCGTTAGTCCTCAAAGATGGGCGTGGGAATTCTTGGTGGGAAGGAGAATTTCGGAACGCGTGCTGTTCTCAGAGGAGGGATGAGCGCCCATAGATGTTTGTGGCGAGTGCGCAAAAGTTCTCATCTCTTCTTTGGAACAGTCTTTTCAACCAGTTGTGCATTTCCATCCCTGACTATTCGGATAAAGACAACTTTGAAGAGCTTTTTGTTTTAGGTTTAATTCGTCCCGTTTAGTTCTTTGACTTTTAGGGGAAGGGAATTTACTGAATGGCCAACTGAGTTTCTTTTCTACAGGAAGGCGATTGTGAAGCGGGTCTCAGAGGGGCTTGATGTCCCCCACCCCTCACACGGAGACCTTGAAAGAGGCAGGTGACTCACTTTCAGTAAGGGCGTGCATGTTGTTCGCCTGCGATGGATGGCATCTTGAGCTCACATCTAGCGTTAGGCCAAGAGATGGGGCCCTTAGGGAGGCTTCCAGTGAAGGTTGAGTTACAGGTCAGGGCTGGGAGGTTGTTGTGCCCCTCTTTGAGAAATAAAAGGCGACGTGGGCCTCTAAGTACTGACTCTCATGGGGTCAGAAACTATTTCTTAAGTCCATTCTTCTCAGAGTTTGGTAACTTCCTCCCACGTCTTGGTCTGCTGGTCTAATTCCCTTCAATAAACTTCAACGTAGGAAAGACCAGAGTGTGTGTCTTTAAAGATACTAGAGAAGTGGGAGCTGTTGCTGGAAAACTGTTTTCTTATGTAGCTACTGAAGGAACAGAAAGCAGGAAGAAAGAAAAAAGTTAGTTGTGGCCCCAGAAGAGTTGTTTTTCAAATGCTGAGCCGTGAAGCCTCATGCACTCAACACAAAGTTTTTCTTTCATATAGATAAGCCTGAAGAAAAAAAATAGATAAACCTGAGTATGTATTTTAGGTGTCCAGCTATCCATTACCAAGAAGAAATCTATTCGTTTGAGCCTGAAGAACTCTTTGAGGTAAAAAATTAGAATGAAAGAACCTTTGGATGGTGAATGTGGCAAAGCAGTGGTACCACAGCAGGAGCTTCTGGACAAAATTAAAGAAGAACCAGACAATGTTCAAGTAAGCATTTCATCTTGATTTAAACATTTAAAAAAATTCCTTCTTTTCCGTCTGGTCAACTGAAAAATTTTAGTTAGGCAGTTTCTGGTTTGTAAGTTTAAAATAACCCAAACTGAGACAGGCTCTCGCTGTCGCTCAGAGTATTTATAGTGCAGTGGTGCGATCTCCTTGGCTCACTGCAGCCTCCACCTCCCAGGCTCAAGTGATCTTCCAGCCTCAGCCTCGTGTGTAGCTGAGACCACAGGGCACACACCAACACGCTCAGCTATTTTTTTGTATTTTTGGTAGAAACGGGGTTTGGCCACGTTTCCCAGGCTGATCTCAAACTCCTGAACTCAAGCAATCCACCCGCCTTGGCCTCCCAAAGTTCTGGGATTACAGGCATGAGCCATCATGCCTGGCTGGTTTTTTGCTCTTTGAATGAAGGCTATAACTACGTGGTTTTGTTTGTGTGGAAGGAAAGTAGTGTATTTACCATTTTTCCATACTTGTCATTAAAAAAAATTCTCTTGTATCTGGTAGTACTTTTCTTTATTCTGTTAAGAATTTGTGGTCTGTGCTAGTCTCTGGGTATCCAGGACTGAGCAAAGTCAGCTTAGTCCCTTCCCTTGTAGAGCTTATATGTTAGTAGAGGAGGCAGAGATTACAAAAGTATTGGTCAAATAATATGTATAATTACAAACTATGACAAGTACTCTGAAAGAAAAGCCTAAAGTGAGGATCTGACCTAGTTTTGGTTGTGGTCTGAGGCCTGGGAATGGCTAGGAAAGGCCTCTCTAATGAAAAGATGTGTAAGCTGAATTATGAAGAATGAATTGATTAGGCAAAGGGCATGGAGAAGAGTATTACAGACAGAGGAAATTGTGAATAGGAAAGCCCTGAGTTGGGAAGATGCATGGTTCTTTTTAAGACCTGTGGGAACAGTGAGCCTGGAACAGAAAAGGTATGAAAATGGTGATGAAGATAATGAAACAACAACAATAAAAATAGATGGCGTTAGTATATCAGTATGTAGTATATATTATATCATAATCATATGTGACATTATTAACTTAATGCTTATATATGCTTAAGAGTGTGTCAGGCACCATTTTTACCACCATATTATTATCTCCATTTTACAGATGAGGAGACCAAAGCTCAAAAAAGCCAAATAGTTTACCACGGATCACAGTTAGTAGTAAATGACAAAGACTGAATTCAAATCCAGGTGGTCAGACTCCAGAACCTGTGCTATTCTGCTTCTCTATGATAAGGCTGTATATATAGTTTGAGGCTGGATTATGCAGGACCTAGTGGACCTTGTTATAAATTTTGGTTTTTATCCTAAGAGCAGTTCATAGCCATTATACGTTTTTTTTGTTTGTTTGTTTTTTGTTTTTTTTTTTTTGAGATGGAGTTTTGCTGCAATGTTGTGTTCTTGGTGGCTCACTGCAACCTCCACATCCCAGGTTCAAATGATTCTCCTGCCTCAGCCTCCCCAGTAGCAGGGATTACAGGTGCCTGCCACCACGCCTGGCTAATTTTTTTTTTTTAGGTGGAGATGAGGTTTCACCATGTTGGCCAGGCTGGTTTCAAACTCCTGACCTCAGGTGATCCGCCCACCTCAGCCTCCCAAAGTGCTAGGATTACAGACGTGAGCCACCACACCTGGCCAATTGTAGGGTTTTAAGTGAAAAAGTAAGATGAAACAGATCTGTGTTTGGAAAGATCATTCTGGCTACCCCATAGGGACCCAGAATGGAGAGCACAGAAATCAATGTGGGGGTCAGGCGCGGTGGCTCATGCCTGTAATCCCAGCACTTTGGGAAGCCGAGGCGGGTGGATCGTGAGGTCAGGAGATTGAGACCATCCTGGCTAACACGGTGAAACTCTGTCTCTATGAAAAATACAAAAAATTATCCAGGTGTGGTGGTGGGCGCCTGTAGTCCTAGGTACTTGGGAGGCTGAGGCAGGAGAATGGCGTGAACCTGGGAGGTGGAGCTTGCAGTGAGCTGAGATTGTGCCACTGCACTCTAGCCTGGGCGACAGAGC